TCTTCCTAAGGTCCACAAGGAGGCTGTCCCTCTAAGATTAATTGTAAATAATAAATGAAGCGTGATGCATCAAATCTCACGGTTTTTATGCATACAACTAAGGAACTCTGCCTATTATTGGCTATATTCAATTAAAAATTCATATGATTGTGTGAAATTGCTGGATAAGCAGACACTTTCAGAAGAGGTTAGGCTAGTAAGTGCTGATGTTGTGTCTATGCACACAAACATTCCTGTTCAAGGAGCCATTCAAGCTCTGATACAAACTCTGGAGGAGCATCCAGAGAGAGCACAAGGAATAAGGCTGATTTTAGCTTCCATAATTAGACTTATTAACCTATCCATGAGTACCACATAGTTCACCTTCAATGACACGTTACAAGCATAATCACAGGACTAGCGATGGGATCTTGCCTGGCTCCCAGCTCGGCCAACAATTAAGTGGCAAGACTGGAGGAACACTTCCTGCAAGAGGCAATACTAACTCCCAAATTGTCAGTTACATACATGCATGACTATCTTTTTATCTGGCCTCATGGAAGGAAAGTTTGGATAGTCTAATACTTTCGTTCAACCAGCGTGAAAGGAACATTAGGTTCGCGATGGAAATGGAAAAGAATAAGTCCTTAACTTTTCTGGATGTTCCCATTATTAGAAAAGAGGGTAAGTTAGGAAGAGATGTTTAGAGGAGACCAATATATGTTGGCTCTTTGCTTATTTTCTTTCCAACCATAGTTACAAGACTAACGTTGGAATTTTGAAGTCAATGATTCCTAGAAGTATGAGGCTAGCGGATAGTAAACAATTGACTAAAGTGTTGCAACGGCTGACAAATAGATTCCTGTAAAATAATTATCCTTTGGGTCTTATTGAGAATAATACCTCATTAATCAAGAATAAATTTTCAGACGGAGACTATTTCATCAGAGGTAGACAGATTGATACCTTTTTCCATGTCCTAATTTTGCCGTCATGCCTTCTCTCAAAAAAGATAGGCAAATTAGTAAAGAAGTGGGGCATAGAAAAAGTGTTCAAAGAAACCCTCACACTTTCTTCTGTCATACCATCATTTAGAGGGAAATATGACCCGTTTTCGAGTTCCGGCTGCTACAAGATCGTTTGCTCATGTGGTCAATGTTATATTGGTGATACATGCCAACCTATTCGACAAAGATTGGGAGAACACAAAAATGCTTGCAAAGAAGGCTGGATCCAACGATCAGGAGTGGACAAACACATGATAGAAAGTGGATATGAAATAGAATGGTCTTAAATTGGTAGATTTGGCGACTATGATACGTCTGGGTTTAAAAGAAAGATAAGAGAGGCTAGTGAAATTAATAACATAGAAAATACTTTGAATGTGAGGAACTGTGAGAGAAAGTTGAGTAGGAATTACTTATACTTGATTGATAGATTGAAAGAGAGCGAGGGTGTTGAGCCGCCGTCCAAAAAAGCGCGACTCAATTCAAACTTCACTCCCACTCTTTCAACATGTTAGATTGAGCTCATCAACCAAACCAGACGTGCCAGATTACGCAGCTCAAGTCAGGCCTTTGCTTGAGTCGTCAAACGTTAATCTCATCATCTTAACCAACTTGTCTACGGACTTTCTCAGTCTCGGTTATGGCTTTCGCATGGGTCATCAGGCCTTGAGGATTAGAGCCTGACATTAGCCTTTTGTACACGAAGAAAAGTTGGGTTTAGAGGAATGTCTTGTTTCATAATTGTTGAGCTTACTTCCATTTCGAGTGGAAGTTTTGGGTGAAGAGACTCGAAGGTCGGTTCCACCAGAAGACGACGGTGGATTCCTCTTGACCAGCTT